GTTATTGTGCTTGCCACATAAAAGCAAACCGTTGAAAATTGTTGAAATCGGACTAAAATTGAGGCCGCTTTTCATATAACGGTAAATTTCAGAAATGCTTGAAATTTCAATATTTCGAAATTTAAGGACGCTAATTTACTCAATTTGATACACCCGGGCTTACCACCTAGCGGTAGCTTTCGGAAAGGTGGAAAACATATATTTAATACTTGCGCCGGGTATTTAATGTTCGGCTCCGCCCGAACTTAGACTTTCTTACTTGTTTTTTCTTAGGGACAACATCCTGAGTAGCTCAATGCTTTCTGGCGGACGAACCTTCTATGGACCAACAGCAGACGTTCTCATACCGCTTAGGGTCAACAGTATGTTCCCTGGAGTTTTTAGATGTTTGGTCCATTACCAGGATAAGGGGTGAAATCGAAACAACTACTTCCATATACATACATGCAGCTTACAGCTTCTTTAAATATCCCCCAAATAATTTCTTTAGCAAACTTCAAACTTATTCCAAATAGGGTGAATGTAGGGAAGCACCGGAGACACTTTAGATTCAGAGATCAAAAATTCAGAAAGTCGTTCAAACAGAGCTTTCCAAAATTTCATTAAGAATAAAATTTTTTCTATACTGATAAGTAGGTAGGTACAATCGTGATAATAGAGTTGGCTGAGTAGTATGGAAACGCTTAGAAGTGCCTAGCACAGCGGCATAATTAAGCAAACGCTAACTGCTCCGATTTGTTCAAAGAGTAGTAAAGGTTACGTGATTTCTGTGGCCTAATTCGTAAACTAACTTCATTTGTTCACTTTATTCTCGGGTAAGAAAAGGAATGTCGGAGCCTCTAATAGGGAATCACATTGGACCCATAATAGTGTAAGTGTGTCTTTTTTCAGAGCTGGATTATGGTAGCCAAGATATATTAGGTTTTGACGCGGCAACTGTAGCTGCTTTCTAAGACACAAAGTCTTCTAATCAAGCGTCTCCAAATAGAATTTCTTAGGGTATATTCCTTTTTACGTTAACGCGAAGACAGGTTCCCTCTTTGGAGAGTGCTTTTTTTTGTAGAAATTAACGGCATGTGAAACTAAAGCAAACAAGGCTCTAGCATTGTGAACACTGATCGCAATCGAAAACGGGATGCGAATCCAAGCAGTCCTTCCAGTGGAGTTTTCCCTAGGGTATCTAGGCTCTCGAAGAAATTGTCCCCAAGAAACTTGAGGCGTTTTTTTGGAGTGCTGGACACTCACAAAGGAAGTGCTGGACGGATTCTACCTCCTCCTCATCCCTACAGCTTTTACTGAAATCGGTTTGCGGTGCTCTGAACCTAGCGGCCTTGTGGCCAATGGTCCAGTGGCCCGTAAATATTCTTGTGAGAATCTTAACGTTTCGATTTGACAGTCTTAATAAACTCCTTGTTCTTCGTTCGTCGAGCCGTGGCCAGAGCGATAGCGATACCATGCATGTGTGCAGATTTTCCCACCTGCTGTTGGTGGCACCCTTGGCCACTCTCTCGACCTCCGAAAACAGAAATCTCAGGGGAGGTTTCACGATCTGGTTCGCTTCCCCAAGCCCAATTTCAGATCCGTTTTCACCACATTCGTCCGCTTCCTCATTTCCTGGGACATCGTTGTGCCCCGGGACCCAGTGAAGGTTGATTATGTGTTGCTGTAGAGCTTGTAGGGATCTTCGGCACTCCTTAACGCATTCCGAGTTGGTCGTTTCCGACCCTAAGGTTTTGTTCGTATAAGAACTGCTTAAAATCAGTTTTAATCTTGAAACGGCATCTAGGGACCTGAAGAGACGTCGGGGATAAAGCAGAAAGCATATCTAAGCAGGAGATCATTCATGCAGGTTTCTGAGCGAAAGGTGGTTTCCAAAACCATTTGGATAAATGATAGAAACGGGTAAATGCGCTTAGACGCGACACACCTGAAGTTTTGTTTCGAAGAACACCCGAAGATAGAAGCTGATTGTGGCTAGAACTTAGTCAAATTGCCATTAGGACTATCCTTAAATTCGCGATAGTCCCGGTGACAATTTTAGTACAGTTTAGTTTCAGCGCAACTATTTGTAGTTATAAGCGAAAATCAGCATGAAGTGTAGAGAAACACGGAAATTACGACATTTTGCACAACACTTGTATGCAAGTAGGTCAAAGGAGTAGCAAAATATGAGAATGAGTAAAAGTTTACGTAGCATAAACAACGGCAATAAAAGACATTAGAAGTAATTGTTTATTTTCCTGCCATTTCAGTGTCATTAAGTGCCACGAACTTTTTGCGAAGTCACGCACATTTTTTCTTATTGCACAACAATAGCTCGAGAATCGATAGTTTTGGGCACTCGGTGTCAGGCAAAACCTTTCCGCACTTAATATGCTTTACATTTGTCAAGTAAAAATTATGTGACCAAGGTTGCTGTTAATGCGATTTATTGGATAAAAGAAACATCTAGACCAGTAACTAGTTACCAAAACAAAACCCGCGCTTTCAACTCTTTAGATTTACATGGGTGTGCACAGAGTAAGAGCTCTCTCCGACAGTCGCTTTTCTATGTGCTCAGCTCTTAATTGAAGAACAGCTAAGAAAGTCATAGCATCTGCCTGGCCATAGCAGTGCCCTCCAGGTGGAAGCAACAGCAATTCAATAAGCGGTTGAATACTTATCTTCGATCAAGAATAGCAATTTCTTCCTTAAGATCACTCCCTCCGGCGAATACCCTAACGGAAGGGCTGAGCAGTTCGATTTTCATCTTATAGGAGTATCGGAGCATACATATGTATGTATGTAGACATCAATTCCACTTTCGCAGAACGAGGAATTAAGCATACCACGCATTTACCTGCCAGACTATTGCAGGTGAACTATCTCCGGAATAAGCGAGCACAAGATGAAAATATCTGGACACTTGCCACAGCCTGAATCCACAGAGCCTGAAATCTACAACGCGGGTTCTCAAACTTTGTATGTGAGAAGGAGCCGGAAATTCGTAAGCTTACTATACCCGGTTTCCACACCGTGATTTGTTCATATCTCCTAATTATTGGGGTGATCCGAAAGCGGGTTCCATAAGGAAGGCTGATAGCATCGCTCTAAGCAACTACGAGTCCATAAATATATGGCGGGTAATATTGAATGTATGGCGCAGAAGCATGGACTATGAAAACATTTGATGGAGCGTTCGAGAGTAAGATTTACGAGCCTTTGCGCGTTGGAGACGGTGAATACCGCAGTGGATGGAACGATCTGTTGTACGAGCTTTAGATGATATATGTATGTCAGTTGACATCCGTCTTTTCGTTTGCAGCGTATGGTGCACGTTATCTTGGACGTTTTCGCAGTAGCGACAGAACGATGAGTCCACGCTTCCCATCCTATGAAGATATTCTCGGAAGGAGCCATGCCCGATATGTTATCCATAGTGCGGCAGATTAAAATACAGCGACTCCTCTGGCTCAGCCATGTCGTACGAGTCGACAGAAAGCTCCATCACTGAAAGTATACAAGGATCGCGATGATGGTATTAGAGGGGGAGGAATTTCTCGATATTTACCTATAACAATATATCGATGAATTGGTTGATTGTAATAGGCTGATGGACGCACATCCTGATAGCCGACCTTCGGACATGGTTGAAAAGACCGCACGGGGAAGTCGATTTCTACCTGACGCAATTTCCCACCGGTCATGGCTCCTTCCGAGAATATCTTCATAGGATGGGAAGCGTGGACTCATCGTTCTGTCGCTACTGCGAAAACGTCCAAGATAACGTGCACCATACGTTGCAAACGAAAAGACGGATGTCAACTGAGGACACCGGAATGAAACGCCCCTATAAGAGAGCAGCTTCGAGGCTCTAGCAGCGCGCTCCTGCATCTGAAGACATGCAGAATTGCGTTGCCAGATGCGGGATTCTTGCAAGGGCGGTGAGAGTTTGGGTTTTAATGGGTAGCCCAACACGCTTTGCTCGAGCCCCCCCTCCCCCCCTAACTTTCAAATTTTCCTTATATATATATATAAAATATTATCCTGAAATGCCAGCTTAATAGGGTCGAGACTTAAAGTTAACAAAATGTATTCTGATTACAACTTCGATAACTGTATCGGTAAACATACTATATTTATGAAGTATATTCATACTGGGAGCTTTATTTACAATAATATCGAAAAATTTATCGATAAATCGTTAGATACTTACATAGAATAAGAGTTCGATAATAAAATCGATAACAATATTAACTACAATTTTTCGCATAGGAAAATACATATAATAACATATAAAAAAAGATATCGATAAATATTTTAATGTCGATGTCGAATAAAATCTCGATAACAAAATGAATAAAAATATCAATTAACAATTGCCACACGGAATCAGTTGCGATGACAATACGAAAAATGAAAGTATCGATAAATGTATCGATTACAAAATAGAGAAGGATATCAAGAAATATGCTGATATCGATATCCAAAAACATATTAAAAGAAGTATCGATCAATGTATCGACGCCAATATTGATAGCGAAAAATATCATATAAATCGATATTCATAAAGCCGATAAGTGCTCGTAACGATACAAAAATTGTGTATCTAAACACGAATGTGAATAAAAACAGATCTGCGTAAGGCAAATTTAGAAGCAAAAGAACCTTAGAGTTGTGGGTACAACATTTTTCAAATTAAAATATCTGATTTCTTAAGTCTGCACCTACATATGTACTTTTTTATTAGTTTGATATGCTATATTGTGTTCATGGAATTTGGGAACTACTCAATATTAATACGAATTATGATGTCCTCAGCTAAATCGAAAGATTTTAACTTTAAAAAAATATTTCTTTCTCACCTTATAAAAAGAAAAAAACAAACAAAAGTTACCCGCAAGCCCTGTTGATTTCCTTTAAAAATTGATGAGCGCAGACGGCGTCAATCAAGAAAAAGACTATCCCAATCTTCAATTATCCAAAAGCCGAAAAAATACCTGTTTGCATCTTCAATCAAGAAATAGTGATTCTTGAAATTTTGAGTGTATGAAATTTCGCGTCATCGCCCACAAATTACTACAAACAGCGAATTTCTCTGTACTCCCAAAAGTGCCGAACACCAAATTTATTTACAAATTGAAAAAAAAAACATATTTATTAAGTAAATGCAGAACTTAATTAAGCTTAAGAAAAAATTTCAATTGAAACATTCAAACAATTGCTGCTTAATCATAAAAATATTACTGACAACAGTCGCGCATGCGCAATGAATCAGCAATGAGGGCGTCGGCAACATTACGCATGCTTGTCTACTATTAAGTTATACAAGTAGCACAAAAAGCGTAGTAAAATGTATGACTTTGGGCTCTAAAGTTTAAAGCGTAAACATACATAGCTGGCTGGCATGTCTTTTTGGAGCCCGCTTTTTGAATTAAGACGCGCGGTGAGTGTGAGAGAGAGAACAGCTGAGAAAAAATGGGGATTTTAAAATATGAGCTGTTTGAAATGGCTAAAATGACAGCTCAAAAACAACTTAACAAAATTAAAAAAATAATAAGAAGAAACTTTCTAAATAAATTTGCTCGCTGAAACAGTAAAAAGAAACTTGCACCTCTAAATTTGCCGCTTAAAGGCGGCACCAAGTGCGACAACAAAAGTTGAAGAAACAATTGAGCTAGCAACATTAAGTGAATTACAACAATAGGAGAAATACGCTTAGCAACAACAACAATTGAAATAAGAAAATACTATTTGAATATAGCACGTATCACCCATAAACGTTTATGCACAAATGTAAGGATGAGTAAGTACTGACGCGTACACCATCATATTTCTGTATGTAGACTCCGTTTGCCCGCTGATGTCTGCCGCGCATGCGTCCACCGACCCCCTACTCCCAGACTTAGCCTACCTAAACGTGCTCACAAATGGTTCTGAAATTGCCGACGAACGTCGTCGCACCCGGCACATTAACTCACAGACAGTCGTTAAGTTCATTACACAGACAGTACGACAAATAGTTATATGGGCAATTAGTCAGTTAGTTAGTCTATATGTCATTTCGTCGCCGCATCGACAGACAGTCACTTTACTAACTCGCCTGCCTAGTCTACCCCCGCCATTAAGGTGAGCGCTAGCTAACGCATGAGTCAGTCTGCCTGTCAAGTAAGTAACCAACCAGTCAACCAGTTGGGCTGTCACTCATTCCACGTTCATCATATTTGCTTTTTTTTCTTGCGGTATTGACATTTGAGGCGGGTGTGAACAACAGCCTTTGGTTTTCGTTTTTTTTTTGTTTTCGTTTTCTCGCTTTCGTTTTGTGTGCGCGCCAATTGTCCGTAAATAATGTAAGCTTGACTTGTTAACATTGTCCATACCTTAGTTCGCCTAGGTCCGCAAGAGACTTTGTTGTTTCGCTCATTTATGTGAAGTAATTTTTTATATGGTTAATTGTTAATTTGTGTCATTGCTCAGAATTAGAACGTCACGTTCGTTATTTTGAGTTTTAGGTTTCCAAGATTGCGGTCGGTCAATTGTTTTACAGCAAATCGCTAACTTTTATGGATGCATTAGAAAAGATTGCTAATGGCGAAACTTGAGGTAGACCCGCTATGTAAAGAAAGTTTGAGGCTTCGAAAGTTCCGAAAGCAATTGCTTGTTGTTCAGAAGACAGAAATTTCATTAGCTTGAGCTTCGATGTCTACTCTGCAGGCAATGGCAAGGCACTGACCCTAAAAAATCCGCTCCTTACCTTTTAATTTTTCTAGGAGTTTTTTTTTTTTTATTTCGGATGGATTCCATCTCCAAAAATTAGGGATGTAAATATCTTCCATGCTTTCACATTGTGTTCAGTTTGTTATTTCTCCTTTGGTTCTTTTAAGCCCAAAAACCGTCGGTGTCTTTTGCTCTTTCTGTCGAGCCCAAGTCTTAGTAGATCTGCCTTAAATCAACTTGTTTTGTAAAAAAAATTTAACTCCCAGTCGCCCTGATACTCGTATTACTTAAGCTGCGTGAAGGTCATTCTATTAGGGAAGCCCCTCTGTTAGCGATTTGCAAATCCTTTGCAAAGTTCAAATCTAACACAGGGATAGATTGCTAGCACCTTGGCCTCAAATACAGTCGGCGGTCTGCCATTGCAATATTGGGAAAGCCTCTGGTGGCGACTTGCAAACGCTTTTCAAAGTCCTATCTAGCACTGGTAGAGATTGCTAGTAACTACGCCTGGAGGACAGTGGGCCATCTGCCAATTGTGGTGGATTCGCTAGTAGCGGTTGTTTGGAGTTCAGCGCCGGCTATGCTATTATCTGCATTCTGTTACCGATGTGGGGTTGCCACGTCGTTGATATTTTGAATCTTAGCATCCACGCTTTGTTGAAGCTGGCATTCCTTTGCCTTGCTACAAGATAAGTTGCTGCATTTCTAGCTTCTTTACTTTTCTACGCGTGGTGATACTCAACACGTTCTCTCTCGGTTTGGGCTTCTGATATATTTAGCGACATCTTTTGATCGTTGCATGAGCTCCGAATGTTGGTTTTCTCTCTTTATAGGGATCCAATGACCTTGCATTGCACAGACCTCTTCTAATCTGGTCTTTTGGGCATCCCGGTCCTTTTTATTTGGACTGAAAAATCGACTTGTCTCTTCGCCACATTTTTTCACTTCGGCACCTGTTAGAGCTATTCGATCTGGTGATATTCGGCCCCTTCGATGTACGTATCAAGCGGCGCCAGGAGTCTGGATTGACACTTTGGTAAGTTTTTGAACAAAAATTGGTCTGCTAGTTACGGACTTGCCATTGCGGTAAAATAGAGCTCATCTTAGAGGTTATACTTAATGTTATGCTTACCGTTGTACTGTAGCTAAGACTAGCGATGGGCACGAGATATCGGGACCCGCGGGACCAAGGTACTGATTAATAAATGGACGCGATGGGCGGTAGCGGGGAGGTCTTCAAAAATTTTGCGGGCGGGACGGGGCCAAAATACGTTCCCGACATTCCCGGTAAAACCCGTAACCTTTTCAAATACAGAAAATCTTCCTCAAAAACGTTGTATGAAATAAGCTCTTTTTTATGTTCTGTTGGGACGAAAGGTAGAGGAAAACAAAATAATCGGAAGATGCCAGATCCTTGGTTATTATTTTTTATTATTTAAAATTAATTTGAAAGATATGTGAACTCCCGGACCCACGGAACCTGCGGTACAATTCTGAAAAACATCGGGATCGGCGGGTTCGGGACTTAAAAATTGAATTTCGGGATGGGAGGGATCGGGATTGAATATTTAGTCCCATGATGCCCATCTCTAGCTAAGACTGCCGCAGTTCACTTCACTATCAGACTGAGGAGCAAATGATTCTACTTTAACCCACTATTTGGGCACTCAGCGGCCTTTGAAAGCTTCGACTTCATACCTGAAGTAACTGATCGCTCTGCACGATTTCCGTTACCGAATGGATTTTTCCCTAGACACATACCTCTAAGGTGTGAGTAGGTAATCCTCTGTTGGAGATGTTCACTAACCCAATTATCGGATTAAACCAAGTTAAAAGGAGGTTTGAGCAAATGTGTTCTGTCAGAAACTGTCCGTAAAACTCAAGTTTAGGCTTCCAGATTTGTGCAGCGTCACAGAGCTTGGCGATGTTTCAGGTAACCGCAACGTTAATGAATTTGCTAGACCAGGGAGGCTGGAGGTCCTATGACAACCTGCAGCCTGTTCCAGGACAGATGGCCTTTTTTTATTCCGCTCAGCGAGCGTTAGTCGAAAACAGGGCATCCAAAAATGTAAGGTCCTTAGGCCAGTGGTGAACCGTAGGCTGTCAAAGGAGCTGCTTAAGCTGTCTGTCGATGCAGGCACGAGTCTTTAGACACTCATGCGGTACCACTTCAAATTTTATCCGATCTCTCTTTCAGCGACTGTTTGGAAAACGACTGATTATTGTCTTCTTAACAGCGCTGCTTTTGCTAGGCAAAGGTTTAAATACCTAGGATTGCATTTTACTAAAATTAGTACGCGATGCGGCTTGGTAATAGGAAAAAGTCTTTCCATTGCTGTGGGTTACCCATTAGTCTTCGTACCGCCAAAAAGGCACAAAATCGTGCAATGCTCTAGGGAAAGGGATGGGCAGTTCTTTGTTGACTTTCTGCAGCCTCAGGACAAAGTAAAGATCTTGAGCTATGTTTGATTCAAATGATAGGCTCTTACTTGAGCTATGACTGAGCTTGTGCTCTACCCCAAAGTGTCTGTGGTAGCAGCTAGAGACGACAGTGTAGCTTGGTTCTTCTTTTATGAGTGGTTTCATCAATTCCAATTGACTGCAACATATTAAAAGTGTGCTTAATGCTACAAGAATTGAGATAAATATGAGTGCATTGTCCATTGCAGAACTGCAAATTGTCGGTGCTGTTATTATATTGTCTTCCAAAGCTGTTTTCTTAAGCGATTTTTTTCCAGTTTCATTTTTTGTTTGCTTAGACCTACAGCAATCGAGAACAGGCTATATAAACATGCGAAGTGTATTTATTACATTTTAACTATGAGCTATGCCAACATAGCAATAAAGATCAGCAAAAAAATGCAAACTGCAACAAAAAAAAAAATAAGCCACAAACTTAGCAATGCCTGGTTAAGCATGTTAATTGTGCAATTGATGTAATGGAGTAGCCGCCACAGCGGCAGCAGCAGCCGAGAGCTAGCAACAAAAACAAAACCATGAAACGAAAGCGTTGAAGTTGCCGCAGTTGTGGCAGTTGGCTGAAGATGTTGGTCTTGTTGAATGACTGAATAAATGAATGAATAGTGGCATAAATTAAAATTTATTACAACTACATAATACATACTGCATCTGTATGTTTGTGTAATATACCCCAACTACATAGTAGCTGCCGGGTATAAAAAAAAATCCAGTACCAGTTTATGCTTATTGCGGTAGTCGCCTGCATTGGCGGGGGCGTGGGTGCGCGCTGCTGACTCTACGAATCACCACTTGGCGCGATGACTCAATTTTTGTTTTACTTTTTCACAACTCTGTTTTATTTAAAACTGCTATTGGAGGTCGTGTTGTTTTTTTCTTTTTGTTGCCTTAGTTAAACTTTAACCCCTTTGCAGTGCATTCTTTGCGTTTTTTTCTCTGTCTGGTTTGAGAGACTTGGATAGTATTTCCACGGTAGGTATAGTCAGCCAGTCCCATCAGCTTGACACACCCTCACCGCTCGACTGTGGCAACTCGGCATTAAGCTGATTGTCTCACTTACATACTTGCGTACTTAGTTAAATTTGAGACTAAACATTTAATTGCATTCAATTGTGTTTTAATTGAGAAATAACTACATGCTTGATTGTAAAGTATGTGGCGTTGATTTCAATTATCGACACAAGGCAAGAATAGGGGAGGGTAAGTTTGGGGCGAATACGCGGAAATTTCGGAGAAAAAAAATGTTAGGGTTGAAGTTTTTGAAGACTTTCTTAAGTGCTCTGCCTCAAATATTGTGTTGTCTATGCAGGCTTTGAAGACTCTCTTGGGATGCCCTCGTTCAAATATCCAACATCCGAATGGGCACTTGCTGGAAGCAAGGCACGCCAGAAGGAAACTTCGTGAACTCACATACCCGGTCTAGACCTACAGAGCTGAGCAGCCCAATGTTGCGCAGATAACCCATAAGCCACATTCACCGGAAGACAATCGCCATCTTTATAAACTCTCGCCTACACAAGAATGCCGTCATCGAAGAACAACCACCACGCATGGATCTTTCTCGCTCCCTTAAACCCACTTTCATTGGTCCGAACTCATCGAAATAGCACATTTTCTTGGCCAGCGGTTAGTTGAGCTTGACTACAATGATTGATAAGTACACCAGTCGATTTAGGCAAGAAGTATAGTACTGCCGCTATAAAAAAAAACAAGCCAGAGACTAAGAGTCCAAAGAGCTCTAGGTTAGGTAGAGAAGGCATATTTTGTTAAATGGCTGGACTTTGGGCCGACGAGGATGTTTCGAGTAGTCACATATACCAGAACATTCACAGACTCACTTGGGTGCCTTTTAATCATAGAACAAATAACTTATTGATCAGGTTGACGTACATTTAGTTCGTGGAACCAACATTGACTCGGATTATTAATTTATTACTGGCAAGATAAGCCAAGCAAAAAAAAGAAAGGCTCATCCGTCATTGCAGGAAATTTTGACGCCGTGAAAGTGCAGTCGCGACAGTCTGCTGAGAAACTTCGTGTGCGATTCTCGATCCTTCTTCCGGTCCGAGAAAACCGAAGATAAAGCAAGAGGAAAAATAGGGCACGGAAGAAGTAAGTGCGAAGTATTTGAGATGCTGTTAGTAAGGAATCCAAAGTACTAGAAGTAAGGCAGCACTTGAGTATACCTGAGAAGAAGATTCCAGACCAACGTACAGGGACAAAACTCTAATCTTTGCACTCGATCAAGATGAGATACAACATACCTCCGGGAATACATTCCCGAAAATTGTCCTTAGCTCAATTCACAAAACGGGAGATCCTACAAAGTTCTATCGATGATACTGGCATCCACAAACGCAATACCATTTTAAACCTTTTGTTTATAACTGAAGCAAGTTGAAGTGAATATATGAACGGGACGGCTTCTATGCCTAGTGTCGTATGTTTTGCTATTACGCTTTCCTTGGCTGTAGATTTCAACACAAAACCAAAGATGACTCTTGCTTCGTTGGCTACTTACTTCATTCTCTAAAATTTCATCCCAATCGTTCGTTCCCCTTCATTTCTTTCCCTCCCCTCTAATACCTCGTCTCAATTAACTTCCATTCACAGACTTTCAGATTTGTTTGCGCCTAGCGGTTGCACGCCCACGTAGTTGCCACAGCTTTGTACTCATAGTTTTTAAGACCTATTGCCAACTGCTGCGATTAACCGCAACCGCAATCAACTCAGTTGGTGCAGTCGGCGGCGGCGGAGTCGCAACATCGCACACTTGTCAGTATTCCGCTTTTGCTGCGGGTAAGTTTCAAATGTCACAATCGTAGAAAAAATTGCTTATTAGCGCAAACAAAAAACAAAAAATAACTAAAAATCTCAGTTCGCTGCAGAGATCCCAGCATGCTGAGCAACCAAATGCGCCATGAGCTGGCTGCTTGATAACTCAATTCAAAGGTGTGAAAAGGTGTCGTGGAAGCCGCTGTTGTCATTCACAGCTTAGCCGACAAACAACAACACATGACATTTGCCAACTGTATTATCATAAAAGTGCATACATACATATGCATGACTTTTTTTTCTATGAGAATGCAAATATGTTTGTAGGTACTTGTGTGTGACTGTTGCATATTTGCAGCGAAACTGAGCTCTGCATTGGGAAATTCAATGCAGCGAATTGCGGAAATCAAGTGGAAATAGAATAGTTCAGCGTGCGGAAAAAATCAGCAATAAAGAATTGGAGCATGCGATTTTTGCATATTAAGTAAGACGAAGTAAGGAATTACAGTTGAAATAGAGAAAACAGAAAATAAATGCAAAGCTAAAATTGCTTCTGTTGATTTGTTGAGATAATTTTTATTAACTAACGGTACTTTGACCTCTTACCACAAATTCGGTCGTTGGATTAGCTGGAGGAGCTGAGGTGGGTAATTGATGATTTAATATTTGGTTAGCTCGACTCTTTAAAGAGTACTTAAAAGCCTTTTAAACCTTAAAAATTCGTCCCAAGCGTTTGTGCCGCAAGCCTATCGCCTCCTCAGTTAACTCTGGCGGCCCTTGGCGGACGCATTCCAAATATTTTAGGATTTGATTAACCAATCCGATTAGAAAACGTGCTATCAGGGCCTTAAAAGCGTTAGAGGTGCGTTCTAATTTGATAAGGAAAGTCTGACCTCTCTCTTAGTTGTGTCGCAATACTACTTTATTAGGCTCATTTGGGTCTCGGGTCACAGCGACAGTAAAGGTACTCTTGAAAGAGCAGCTGGGAGTGCCATTGATCACTCTTGGATAGATGGGCCTCATGTCATCCCGCTGAACCTCTTTCCGCCATCAACAATTGAGTGTAATTTTGCTAACTTCTTAAATAATGAGATTTTGTCAAACCTTTTGAAATAGTTCTCTATTTTTCCTTAGGTCCTATCTCAAAAACTTTCATAGTTTTACCTGTTTGAAGTCTAGACTACAGTGTTAACATTTGCTACGATTTTTCGAAATAGCTAAACTAAAATAAAATAAATATAATAAATAGCTTTTGAAAGAAGTGTAGCCTAGGTTTTGTTGTTGTTGCTATTTTTTAGACAGTGCTGAGCTGTCACTAAGTTCTTGATCAGAACTAACCTTTCGTCATTCCGGTAGCGTAGTCACTCGTGTCATGAGGTAAAAGGGCCCTATGCCGTCTCGCTGGACGTACCCAATGCAGTAGTGTCCGGCGATGACACAAAATTAATCAGAGATTTAATTGGCTACTCATTGAATCTTGTGCAAATCTTACTCTCCTCTATGTATAAGTTGGTTTTCATTTCCAGTTAAGTTCTCTGAAATCTTTCGATGCCTGCGGATCTATATTTCGGCCGTCATTAGTCTTTTTTTATTCGTTCTGAAATGCCTTTATAAAGTTCGGCCGCAGCAGACGGATTTTCCGTTAGATCTCTGCTGAATACAAAACACTTCGAACCTGTAGTTTCCCATTCACTTTCTCTCAACGAGTAGCAGAAACTCTGCAAGTGATTTTGACTTTCACTTTTTCCCTAGAAGGCGCTGATTGGTGTGCCCGAAGCGATATATGCATTATTAGCTTTTCGGTTTCAAAACCATATAGAAGAATTGATGGGCGGAGGCAATTCTTCCGCTCTTTTTAAAATGGACATCTATAATGCTGATTGTTTTAGAGAAGTTGTTTTTTTAAATGGAATTGAAGCCTGAAAAATTCTCTTAAAACGATCTCCTCTGTTATGAGACAGTTACAGTGAACTATTAGGCCTATTGTGACAGAGTGGAAACTTTATTTATTCCAAACGTAGTGACAGGACAGAAGGCTGTTCAACCAGTGCAGCTCTTGCTATCACTTATGATTACAGACAGGTTGCTATTGGGATAAGAAAGCCCTCGAAGTCATTACTCCGTACAGAGTTGATGTTGAAATGGATTTTATCCCGTTAAATGTAGACTCTCTCACAAGATCCTCACCGGCCGATAGCAACTACTGTACTTAAACTAATTAGCACTTAGTCAGCTTGTGGTTTTAACCATAACCGCCGTGTGGAAAATCAGTTTTAGTC